TGGCTCAGTTGGTTAAGCGACTGCCTTCGGCTCAGGTCATGATCCTGGAGTCCCGGGATCGAGTCCCACATCGGGCTCCCTGCTCAGCAGGGAGTCTGCTTCTCCCTCTGACCCTCTTCCCGCTCGTGCTCTCTGTCTCTCATTCTCTCTCTCTCAAATAAATAAATAAAATCTTTAAAAAAAATAAAAATAAAAAAACAAAAAAAATGACCCCATCCAACCTCTTCAGCCCAGTCTCCCCCGTCACACACACACACACGCACACGTGCGCACGCACACACTGTATCCCCCCACCCCACCAAGTGCCAGCCATTGGATGAAGGGACAAGCCCTACTTTCTTAACTTCCTGAACTTGTTAGCCTTTGCTTGTACCACGCCCTCTATCAGCCTCTCGGGCCCAGCTCAGATGCCGGATCACCTGTGAAGCCTCCCGCCCAACCTCCCCAACCTCCCCACCCTCCGTGAAACTGGTCGCTCGTCCCATCTCCCACCGTCCCATGGCATTTGGCTCACACCCCCTTTATAATCCTTCGAACACTGCCTGTCTCAGAAAGGCTACAAAAGCAATGGAAACTGCTGTCTCTGTGGCACAGGAATGGGGGCTCAGGGTGGAGTGGAACTCCCATCATTCACTTGACACCTTGCTCAACTATGTGACATTTTTATTTTGTCTCTTATTAGAACTGACTGTATACTCGTCTGTCTCTTCCACTAGCCTGGAGATGCTCTGAAGGCTGTATTCTGGCCCTCAGAGTTTGCCCGGTGCACCTGCTGAAGACACGGGTACAGGACAGACTGTTCTGCACACCACATACCACTTCTGCCCAGACTCACACCCCTTCTCCCTAACATGCAATGCCTTTCCAGGGACGGTAAATGCTCTTTTCGCACCATCAGGAAATGGAGTGCTCTGGGTTCAGAGAAAGGGACTATAGATACCATACCATAAAGACCATCGCTTTAAAAAAAAATGGAAAAGAGCCCTCAGAACAGTTGGTAATAAGAATTCAGCTTTGCTTTGATGATTCCGAAGGCAGTTATGAACCCTGCAGGGCCTCAGGGTCATCATTCTACACCTTCCCTACTTCTTTTTTTTTAAGATCTTATTTATTTGAGAGAAAGAGAGTGCCTGCGTGAGCACGCAAGCACAGAGTGAGTGGGGGGAGGAGCAGAGGGGGAGGGAGAGGGAGGGGGAAAAGAATCCCAAGCAGACTCAGCACTGAGCACAGAGCCTCACTGGGAGCTCGATCTCATGACCCAGAGATCATGACCCCAGCTGAAACCAAGAGTCAGGAGCTCAACCGACTGAACCACCTAGGCGCCCCTATACCCTCCCTACTTCTTGGAGAATCTGTATTTCCCATTGTGCTGCAGCTGTGGCGAAGGGCGGATTCCAAAGAGGCACGGGAGGACAGGAGGCCGGACTGGCAGGAGACCCAGCTTTGCCCGGACCAAGCTCTCAGCTGAAAACCTGCTTGCCTGGCTCGCTGCGTGGCCAGTGGCCCTCGGTTGCCCCGTGTTCCGTCCACACCTGATGCACACTACCCTGGTCCTTTTACTGCCTGGGGCCCAAGATCCTGTTTCAGAGAAGGAGGTGCTGAATACTCTGGAGGAATTAATTAACTGTGCAATACTATATCCCAGAGGCCCTGCCCCGCCCTCGGGGATCAGCTGATGCCCAGAAGAATAAGGACCAAAAGCCCCTGAAACTTGATCCCTACCAGTGTCATCATATAGGCTATTTTTATTCTTATCAGGCCCTGGGGGAAGGGACGCACAGAGCCTTGTGGCTCAATGGTTAGAGTTGTCAACTTGAGGGACTCACTTGAAGGGCTCCCGATGCCCCGGCCTCCCCTCTGCCGTGCGCACTTCATGTACCATCACTTTTTAAACAAAAACAGGGTCGGATACTTTAAAAATAGATATCAAAGGAAAAGTATCCTTAAGAGTGTTTGCAAAGGTATTTGAACTATGTGAAGACACCAAGAAGAAAATACTGAATAATAGGGGCTAAGAACAAAAGCACAGGTCATCCAGCATCCTCCTAAGCAGCACGGTCACATGCTGCCATCCAGTGAAAGCCGACCAGAGCCACAGCCCCGCAGGCCGACCAACTCCCTTCTGGATCATCAAGTAAAGATTAAACCAGGTTTGGTCTAATGGTGTCAGGTATATTCTAGTCTCTGAAAATGGGTGACATCCGTTAGTAATATCCACAGTCATCTGAGAGGACAGTGCCCATGCCATCATCTCATCAACACGAAGGCTCCGAGAAAGCAGCCCGTGGGCTCCTTAAGGACCCCAGCAGCCCCTTAGCGATGGCAACCGTATGCCGCGGCTTTTCCAAGAATCTCAGTTTCAAATATTCTGTCTGGCTGTTCCCAGAAACCACAAAAATGTTCCAGAGATTCTAATAGTTCATCAGCCCAAATATCTCCCAGATCACCTCTTACACCCAGGAACAGCAAGCAGAATCCTTCAGAGAGCGAATCTAGATTTGGGGTTTGGAAAGGACATACAGTCAATACATCTGGAGCTTACAGCCTCTGTTCCGAACGTTAACTGAGCAGGGCGGGAAAGTCAGGCTGGCCTTGGTCATATGTCAGCTTCCCCGAGCTCCAGTGTTTGCTCGCCAGGTCTGGGCTTCCTCCTGGAGAGCTCCACCCTTCCCAGGGAGGCAGGCCAGGGGTTGCCAGGATCCTGGCACTCGGTTCCTGGAGATCTCTTAGACACTTACCCTCGGGACACTGACACTTGGAGGTTGTAGCAAGGGAGAAGAGGCTTGTCTGAGAGCTCAAACATAAAATCATCCTCTTCCACATCATCTCCTTCTTGATCAGAGTTCCCGGGAGGATTATGCAGAAGGTCACAGGCAAAGCCATCTTTTTCCTCTGTAAGGAGAGCACATGGGATATTAGGACTTAGCTACATGCACAAAACTGAAGAAAAGAGGGGCGCCTGGGTGGCTCAGTCGTTAAGCGTCTGCCTTCGGCTCAGGTCATGATCTCAGGGTCCTGGGATCCAGCCCTGCATCGGGCTCCCTGCTCGGCAGGAAGCCTGCTTCTCCCTCTCCCACTCCCCCTGCTTGTGTTCCCTCTCTCGCTGTGCTTCTGTCAAATAAATAAATAAAATCTTTAAAAAAAAATTGAAGAAATGCTCCAACAAGAAAAGGGGCCTGGGGGCGCCTGGGTAGCTCAGTCGTTAAGTGTCTGCCTTTGGCTCAGGTCATGATCCCAGGGTCCTGGGATGGAGCCCCGAATCAGGCTCCCTGCTCAGCGGGAAGCCTGCTTCTCCCTCTCCTACTCCCCCTGCTTGTGTTCCCTCTCTCGCTGTGTCTCTCTCTCTGCCAGATAAATAAAACTTTTTTTTAAAAAAAGAAAAGGGGCCTGAAGGTGGGTGATTAGTAGATAAACAACAAGCCCACAGACCCCTGGTCGGGGCCCAGTTTCGCTGATCCCATGGTTCCCACCCTTGGGAGGGCCCATGAAAGCTCTATCCCTGGGAGACATTATTTTGTGGCCAGAAATTCATTATACTCCTCCACCTTTCAGCTGGAATAAAGCCAGGTGATATGAAGCCTGCTGACACTACCAGTAGTCAAAGGCAAGGTAGAAAAACACCTGCCAGGCCTACTGGGCCCTCAGAAACCCAGAGGGGCCGCTCAGCCAGTTCCATTCCCCACATGTCTGGGCGTGGCTTACTTCATTCCATCCCAACCTTCTCCCGCTCCAGCTTCCCCAGGGCTTCGGGGATGGGCACCTCCCCCAATCTGCAGCCCTGGCCCAAGGGATGAGTGTGAGCTGATGGGGTCACAGATAAAGACTCTTCCAAGAGAGGAAAGCCTGGGTCAGAGGCTAAGCACTCGGGAGAGGGCAGTGGTCTCAGAAAGTGTGCGTGGCAGGGGAAGGGAAGGGAGGGAATGAGAGCGGCCAGGTGAGGGGCTGGGTCTCTCGTGAGTGTGAGCAACACCAGAAGAGAGGATGATGCACAACAGGGGCTTCTGGCAGGGTTAAGACAAAGCAAGGGAGGACAAGGGCCCCTGGGGGACAGAGAAGGAAAACAATACCTGGGGCAGAAGTGGGAGAGGGCTAATGAGGGGTGGCTTTGTGGCATCTGAGTCTGGGGGGAGCGTGGGCTAGGGTTTGGGTTGAAAGGGTCCGTAAGTTACTAACAGGTGGAGAAAGGCTGCCTCCACAGGGTCACTCCTGTCTTTGAGAAGAATCCATGAAACCCAAAGCAATCCCCCACCTCTGAGCCATAGGCAAGCATGGGAGGAATCTGACTCCAAGCTTACCCAACACAGAACTGCTGTAAAAGTCCCAGGACACGCCAGGGTCACCCTCTGCCCGGCCCTGAAGATCCGAGAGGTGATCTGATGAAAGAAGAGAAGGCAGTGAGACAAGGAGGGTAGGCTGGAGAAGGATCTAGAAACAAAGTATGTCCACAGAGGGCTAGGAGGACGGGAGAAGGGAAGGAAGGACCACAAGAGGGCCTGGGAGCTACCAGAGAGAGATACATTTCCTGCTGTTAATCAGAGGTTGCCAACCAGTAGCCAGGAGCCAAATCTAGCCCACTGACCACATGGAGTTTGGCCCAGTGTTTTAAACCAAAAAAAAAAAAAAAAAAAAAAAAGTTAATTAACGTTGAAGTTTTTAAAATTGAGAGATTTCACCTAAAAATCCCGATTTCCAACTTTTCCTGAAAAAAAAAAATCAGAAAATCTGGCAACACTGCATCCCGCATTCCTGCATGTCAACAGTTGGCTGGAGGGGAGAGGCGACATGTGCGTTCTCTGGCTCAACAGTCCACAGTCCCCACCCAGCCTGCTCTGCTCTCCTCCATGATCAGCCCAAAGGCATTTAGGTCTGGGATCCCTGCTCTTAGTGGTGTAAGGAATGGACTCTGCGAGCAGAATCTTAGACCTATCCCAAGATTTCAATTCCCCCTGCAGGTCACAATGTTCATATAGCCAATCAGGATCTCTCCAATTCAAAGTAAGATAAAGAAGCATAATTCCCTCTGTTTCATCTTTGGAAAACATGGGGGAGAGGGCCAAGTTTATGCTTCTACTCCTAGGTATATACCCAAAAGAATTGAAAACAGGTGTTCAAACAAAAACTTATACACAAATGAATGTTCATAGCAGGTCTACTCGCAATAGCCAAAAAAAAAAAAAAGTGGAAACGACCCAAATGTTGTTAAGCTGATGAAGGGATAAACAAAACATGGTCTGGCCATATAATGGAATATTATGCAGTTCTAAGAAAAAGCAAAGTACTGAATGAACCCTAAAAACATTACACTGAATGAAAGAAGCCAGACACGAAAGGCCATATACTGTATGATTCCATGTAGATAAAATGTCCAGAACAGGCAAATCTAGAGACAGAAAGCAGACTGGTAGTTGGGAAGGAACAGGAAGTGACTGCCTAATGGGCACAGGGTTTCCTTTTGAGGTGATGAAAACATTCTGAAACTCAGCGGGGATGGTTGCACAACGTTATGAATGTACTTAATGTCACTCAATTGTACACTTTAAAATGGTTAAAATAGTACATGTTTTGCTCTAAGTATTTTGCCACAATAAACACATTTTAAACCACCTTCTGCTTACTTGACCCGAGGACAGACAGCAGGTCGCCACTCCGCCTCCTTATTTCCTGGCTAAGCAGCATCTATGAGACTGTCTCACCTCGCAACCCCGCGTGGACAAAAAGCAGGTTTTCATGACAAACTCAACCGTGTCATCTGTGGGCATGTGGCCCCGTGGCTGCCAATATGCTACCTAGCCCTGCTGGCAAGCTGACTTAGCTCTGTATGCATGCTACCTGTCCTCAAGCGACACCTGGCCACAAGGACTGGGCGAGAGTCCAAAGGGCACAGGCGACCTGAGGGCGCCTTCGCTGAGCCAAATCCCAGGGGCAAGGCGGCAGCCCCTCCTGAAGGCCCGAAGCTAGTTTCCCCCAGTGAAAGGCACCACCGCACTCCAACAGCCTGCCCTTTTGGGTCACACATTCTCTCAGCAAAAATGCCTATTAGCTGTTGTGAGCTACTGAAAGAAGTTTTTAGCAACCTTCTAGGAGATTACAGCTTTCTTCTGGCAGGAAAAAGCAGCCAGAGAGAGCTTTCAAAATAATGGCTGAGCAGCTACAGTGGGAAACCTTTAGTCACGTACATTAGATCTTTTTCTATGTACTCGGCAAAACAACGCTGAGGTCACCACTGGCCGTTTGGGCACTTCTCTGGACCCCGTGCCCCTTGAGACTTGGAAGGAGTTTCTGCCAGAAGCATCAGTTAGGCAGGTGCCCATTCTGTGCCTGGCCTTGTGCTTGGTGTCCTGGGAGAGGAAGGTGTGAGAGCCTAAGTTTCCAGAAGGCGGGCACCACGTCTGTCTTGCTCATCGCTCTCTCCCCATGGCCCAATAAGCCCAGGTTCCGGGCACATCGTAGGAGCACAATAAATATACGGGGAGGAAAGGGAGGGAGGAATTACCAGGAGGTGAGACCAAAAGTAGCATGCTTGCTTAACCAGCAGGCCGAAACATACGGGTCCCCGATGACTGCTGCCCCTCCCCCCCCCCGGAGGTCACATGGCGACTCCGGCAGGCAGAGCAGCCCTCGCTCACCAGATTCCTGGGGCTCCTCTCTAGGGCCTGCCTTCTGAAACCCCGGCATGCACAGGCCGCTAATTCACCCCGCCGAGAGCGAACCTGGGGCCCCTGCAGGTGAATGTGCCTTTCCGAGGCAGCCCAGTGTGAATCGGCAGGAAGAGACGCGGCCGCGGAGCACGTCCGCGAGCTGCGCCCCAGAAGCAGCTCCGTGGCTGGCCTGATGGCGCAGCTTCCGGTCGCGCCGCCGCACAGGCCTCCACGTACAATCAGGACAAGGAGTGCCTTGCCTCTCCCTTGACTGGCTCTTGCCCCCGCCCACCACGCTCAGTCCTTTACACTTTTCCTCTCCTCCGAGAAGTGCCTTCAGCCCGGCAGTCCTGCTCCCGGGTACGTGGCCGCGACGACTGGAAACAGGTGCTCATGCCCATGTGCGCGCACGTGTTCCCAGCAGCCCCGGCCACCACCAGCAGGCGGGCGCCACCCGCACGTCCCGCAGCCGGTGAGCGGCGACAGCGTGCCAGAGCCGTGCGGTGGCATACCCCTCAGCCTTCAGAAGTAAGTACTGAAACATGCCACCTCGTGGACGGGCCTTGAAAACGTGACGCTACGTGAAAGAGGTCGGACTCAAAAGGCCCCGTGTTGGGCGAGTCCACTTACATGTTATGTCCAGAATGGGCAAATCCAGAGAGACCGGGAGTAGATGGGTCCCTGTTGGGGGCCGGGGCGACGGAGGGGGGGGGAGGGAGGATGGAGAGCAGCTGCTTAGTGGGTGTGGGCCTTCATTTTGGGGGTGATAAACATGTTTTGGAACCAGATAGAGGCAGTGGCTGTACAACGTTGTGAATGCACGAAACGCCACTGAATCGTTCCATTCGAAGTGCTTGATTTTATGTTCTGTGAATTTTGTCTCCACAAAAAATGTTTTAACTACTCAGTGCGAGCAGTCACCCTGGCAATCAGAGTTTCTCTCTTTCCCAGGGTCCCACCATACCGCTCCCCGTGTCCTCCAACCAAGTCACCAGCCAAGGGACATGAAAGGGGAGAAAAACCAAAAACAAGCAGTCTTTGACACGGGGCCGTATGGCAGAGGTCTCCGGCAGGAAAAACAAAACCTGTGATTCCCTGACCTCGAGGGGGTACACTGCTAACCCTTTCATCAGTGGAAGAAAAAGCAGTGCCGATATTTCCTCGGATGCCCCAAACCAAACTGCAACAACTCCCCTCGGCCCCCACATTCTTTCTGACAGAGCAGGGACACGAATCTGTTTTCCCTTGACTAGCTTGGATATTATTCTTTTCTTCAAAGGGTCAAAGGCAAATCGGTCACATGCCTGCCTGTAATTTGGCCCAAGGAGGAGGTCTTCCACAGGCCTCTCTGAGAGTCTGGATGGCCTGGTGCTCCAAGCCTGAGGATGAGAGAAAGGGCTCCGCTGCCTGACCTCCAGTACCTGAAACCCAACAGGGGGCTCAATAAGCACACGGAGGAGGGGTGCCACCATACCCTTCCTGATCTCAGGAGAAATGGGCCTCACTTTAAGCCAACTCAATAAAGAAAAATCCACACTTATAACCCAGATGCGAAAGGATTCACTCCAGGATATTTGTAATTAGTGACATTCCTTTGTGTATTTAAAAGAGGATTCGATTCCCAGACTTTTCCAAAACAGGGACCTCGCGCAAAGAGAGGGAAGCTCTATACCACGAGCAACACCAAGGCTTGAGCTCATCATCTCCACCTGCAGAAAATGGAGCCCTTTGCACCCTACCAGGATTCGCCTTCATCTTTGGCCCAGTGGGATCTCCGCCGGGGGAGGAAGAAGACAATTAATCTATGGAGAGTCTGGTCAGGCAAATGCTTGGGGATGAAAAGCAAAAAGCTTTTTAAATACCTCAGCCAGATAGGCAAGGTTAAAAAAAATTAATAAATCCAGAAGTCCACCCAAATGCATCCAGGTTTAGGGGCTGAGGAGGGGGGCAGTGAGGGGAAACGCCTCCCAAACTTCCAACCCCAGGGTGCCTTCTGCAGCCACTATGCTGCCCTGTGCAGTGGTTCCGTGAGATTTGCTGGCGGGGAGGCTGCCGGGATTCAAAAAGAGAGAAAAATACGAGGTTCAAGGAATTAAGCTCCTGATGATGGCGCATACAATATTGCGAATACACTAAGTGCCACTGAACCATTTGCTTCCAAATGGTTAGACGAAGTGAATTTCACCTCAATTAAAAAAAAAAAAAAGCTTGAGTATTAACTTCTCATCCCCCCAAAACAAACTTTGGGCCCAAGTCCCCTCTCCCAGGAGCCTCTGACTGCTGCCCGTGCCTGCCTCCCCAGGGTGTTGGGCCAAGGTCCTAGCCTGGCTTGCCGGCACTGTCCCAAACAGCTGGCCAGAGATCTGCCTTTGATGGGCACTTGATATTTGCATGGAAAAGAGGTGGCTCTGTTCCAACACTCCCTTCAGTTCCTGGCCCCCATTACGGCACTGAAGCTCCGTGCCTATGAGGCTGAGAAGCAGTGTTAAGATTTGAACGAAGGTGTTTGGCCTGGACAGGCTACCAAGGACCAGAATTACGAAAACTCTTCTCTTGGGGCACTTGGCTGGCTCTGTCAGTAGAGCATATATACGACTCCTGATCTCAGGGTGGTGAGTTCGAGCCCCCACGTTGGTTATAGAGATTACTTAAAAATAAAATCTTAAAAAAAAGAAAAGAAAAAAGTCTCTTGACTCTGCAACATGGGCTGGCATTCTGGTTAGTTTAAGAAGGCATCAAAAGGCTGGCTAGTAGTTGGGATTAGCTAATGGAAATGAGAGGGAAAAATGTGTTTTGTTTCTAAATTTTTAACTACTGAAAATGGTTTCAACATTTGGATTCCTTTGGGATTTTGGAGAAGGGGTCAGGGAAGAAAAGAGTTTGTCTGCTTACTAAGGTGGTCAGATAACTTTATTTGGATCCAGAGAGCCCCGAGACCCTCAGGAGGGCAGTTTCTAGCCCCAAGAGAAGCCCCTGGATTAAACCTGTTGATCAGAGACAGAGCTTCATGTAGTGTTTTTATCATGTTGAGAAGTTCTGGGTGTTCATCTCTGCTGGCTTCTCCTGGTAATCAAGTCGAGGGCAGACGTGTGTGTGTGTGTGTGTGTGTGTTCATCTCTGCCGGCTTCTCCTGATAATCAAGTCGAGGGCAGACGTGTGTGTGTGTGTGTGTGTGTGTGTGTGTGTGTGTGTGTGTGTGTGTTGTGTGTAAGACAGTGCACGTGGCACATGGTATAGGAGAAAAGGCCACAAAGGGTGGCTTGCCCTGAGCCCTGCGCCTCCATGACAGTGCAGTCAAAGTGAACAAGATTCATCACTAGCCCAGGACAAATGATGAAATGAGCATCCCCAAACTGCTCGGCCCTTCACGGACAGGGGCCCGGGACCCCAGAGCTGAGGAGGGAAAAGGCAGTCCTGCCCCTAGCCAGAAGGGCTTGGTTCCAAAGGGAGGCCTGAGGCCTGTACACGGTGACCAGTGACTGCAGGGTCTAGCTGGCTTGACTGGGGGCTGGATGGAGGCTGGCTGAGCAGGGGTCAAGGTCTCCCTCCACGGCCTCCCATCACTTCCCCTTCGGCTTTTGTTAGTACGAGGTGGTGCTTCCCACCTAGTCCTCCTCCCATGGGGACCTTTAGTTCATGTTCCTTTGTTTCTCCCTCCATCATCAGCTATCTAGTTAACCTTTGTTCAAGAAATAAATGATCCCCTGGCTGGGAACCCAGAACTGTATCTTCAGGGAGGTGGGCCTTTAGGATTAACGAGGGCCACAGCCCGGGTGAGACTGAGTGGCCTCGAGCAAACCCTTGGTCCCATGGGCTCCTGCTCTGAGAGGGGTTCAACCACAAACATGGAAGCCTCCACAGAGGGGCAACGAGACGACTGCTAGCTGCTTCAGGTCTGCCCAGCGCTCTGGCAGTCTGAAGAAGAAACTGCTAGAGCAAGGGCCGAGCTGTGATGTCACTAAGGAGGTGGGGTTCCTTCATTCGGTCAAGTCTGAGCAGATTCCCAGTGAGCATGCCTGTACTAGACTTCCCTCCTTCCCTCTGCCCTGCTGCCCAACTCGGTAGAGCTATCGAACTGCAGACAAACAGTGGCTATCCACTAATGAGAAAATAAATGCATGTTGCCTTGTGGCTCTTGCCATGGGCCCGAACACCAGGCACTTTTCTCAAGGGGCCAGGTGAGGGAGGAAGAACGAGGGAAGGGAGGCGCCGAGGGAATGTCAGTTACCACAGGCAGGGGCTGTGAGAAACAGCATCAGGGGCGCCTGGGCGGCTCAGTCGGCGAACCGTCTGCCTTCGGCTCAGGTCATGGTCCCAGGGTCCTGGGATCGAGCCCCACATCGGGCTCCCTGCTCCGGGGGGAGCCTGCTCCTCCCTCTCCCTCTGCCCCTCCCCCCTGCTCATGCACGCACATGCTCTCTCTAAAATAAATAAAATCTTAAAAAAAAAAAAGAAATACAGCATCAGGAGGGGTCCCGAGGGTTCCACTCTGATCACCAACAAGGAGAAAGTACAAAGACAAAAGCAAAACGCTGTGTCGTTTCTTTGTAACTAACATCCCACTCAGAACAGGGGTCAACACATTTTGCCCACAGCTCAATCTATTAGTGGGGCCGCTGTCTCCCAAGGAGGCCTACCCCACATACCTCGCTGGGAAATGGGTCCCTGTGGGCTGCCATGGCCCTGAAGAGGATGCATGCGATATGGACACTCATGGCACAGGAATAAGAGGAAGTGGACCTCTGGGCTTTTTAAAGTGCACAGAGATTTCTGAGACACTTCAAGGAAAGCCTGTAAAGAGGGCTGACGCCCCTCATGGGAGCTGTTTGAGACGGAGGGAGGTGAAGAATACCTCCTTAGGAGTTCAGGAATGAGAGGCCAGCCCCACGGATGATGGTTTCAAGCCTGGGCTGTGCTTACCGCTGAGAAAGCGCTTCATGGTGTCACTGCTGGCCAGCTTCATGGCTGTCTGTCCCGAGTAGGTGGCCAGTGTTGGGTCAGCCCCATAGGACAGCAGGAGCCAGATGGTCTCCAGGTTGTCATTGACCACCGCGTCATGAACTGGCCTGCAGAGGTGATACAGGGTGAGGACAAAGGATGGGAACCTGGGTGTCCAGCACCAGGCTATTTCCTCAGGGGAAAGTAACATAAGATGAGCCCAGAATAATGCGGGTAAGAGTTAGGGTAGAGGAACCGCCTCTGAACTGTACCCACCATCAGATCTCCCCACTTCCTTCTCCTCTCTCTGCCTCTTTCTCCTCCCTCCCATTTCTCTCTTAGGTTCTCCCTACACTTTGGGACAGTCCCTAAGGTACACTATAGCCCCACTGGCTGCTCTGGAGTTTGGGAGACAACGGGCCCCCCTGACTGAGGATAAACTTAAAGCAGATGCTGGGGGTATGAACAGAAAGATCTGGATGACCACCCTGGAGCAGGGATGAGCAGAGTGGCTCCACACACTAGGTGGCGGCCAAGCAAAGCCTGGGTCCTCTGACCCAAGTCCCCTTACTTGGTAAGTAGCTCATGTCTCAATTTGGCCCAGGAAGTAGGCCCTCTGATAGAGGCAAATGGGTATAGTTTCTTTAAGACACAGCAGGTGTCTTTTTTTTTTAAAGTGTACAGACATCAAATCAAGAATCAAATCTGGGACGTGACCCTAAGGTGGGCCTCCCTGTTCCTAAAGCCTAAGACTCTGCCGAAGACAGATGCACCACCAGGAGGATGTGAGGGACGCCCGAGTGGTGTTCCTGGTAAAGCTGCATTTGACAGGATGATCCCTAAATAACCCCAACCTCTCCTTAGTAACAGATGTGGGCTGGCCGGCCAGGAACTCATCCACCCCTGCCCTAAACCGCTTCCCCCTGCAGTCTGTAGCCGTCTTCCTGAGACACTTCCTGACAAGGCCTGGCGTGCTGCGAAGGTCCAGGCTGCAGCAAGTTCTCTGGAGTGAGGGGCTGAGCTGGGGGGGGGGGGGGGGGGTTAGGGAGCGGTTTCTTGCCTCGTGCCATCCTGCGCGCTGCAGTTCACATTGGCCCCGTGCTCCAGCAGGATGTTCAGGATGTCAGTCCAGCCCCTGGAGCAGGCCTCATGCAGGGCTGTGTAGCCAGCGTTGTCACGGTGATTCACGTCTTCGCTGTCCTTCTGGAGGCAGTAGAGAACAACGTCCTGTAGGGACAGGGACAGCTCCATGAGCAAAGAGAGGCCTAATTCTTGAAATCACCCCAGTTAGGCTTGAAGCTCTTCAAATGCCCAAAGAGGAAGTCTTAGACCTGTACTTTATCCCGGGGAACAACGGGCAAGTCTCAAAATCTTTCATCAACAAAGTCAGTCCTGAGTGCCATGGCCAGGGCCTGGGATCTCGGCTAGTTCCTTGGAAGTGGGGAGACACGTCTTATGACCAAGGATACTCACTCATCTGGGTGTGGGTTGTTGGGGTGAGGTCTGCAGAGAGGCTCACCTGCCCACCTGGAGCTCACACTCTCAGGCCTCAACTCCCCGAGCACTGGTTCCCTAGTCCAGGGCTTTGTAAGACAGCACCAGACCAGAGCAATAAGGCATGTGGCGGCAAACACAGCCTCTGGTGGTAATTGGAGAGCAAGGAAGAAAAAAATTGGTTGAAGTTCTATCTCTGGAGGCTAGTTTTAATTGTTTTCAGCACTGTCCCTGGATGTTTATCCCAGGGCAGTCAGTTCTAGCCCTCCCCTCAAATCAGGATTGCTCTGAGCATAACCCAGTGTGGTCATTCATTCACATAGTAATGATTAGCCTCCCTGGGCTACACGATAGGACCAGAGGCAGGACTCCAGGACTAGAAGCACCCCAGCTGGTCTGGGATGAAGCTGGTGAATCAGTTGAGGGGGAGGGGAGAGACAGCCCCTCTTCTGAGGGGAAGACGTAGGCAGCAGTACCAGGGGCCTATTACCAGCCCTCTCCCAGTCCCCGGGGACACGGGTAGCTCAGGCACCTTGACTGACAGCTAGCTCACAGGCTGGCCGGCTAGAGCAAGTGAATGAGAAATGAGAAAGTGAGCGAACAAGCAGGCGAGTGTGTGCCAGTGTGGGGGGGTGCTGTCTCTTGGATGTACAGGAACTATCCCGTTCCCTGCACTCAGGCGAGCACAAGGCCCCTACCCTCCTCACCAATGCAGACCACGCTGGCCTCTTCCCTCAGGCCTCAGACTGCTCCTCCCGCCCTCCCATGACAGGCTGCCCGACCTGCTCCTGTCCTGTCCTGGCTGGTTCTCCTGCCCTCTCCTACTTGCTGGTTTGGCCCCAGGTAAAAGAAGATTACACTTGAGGGCAGGGCTTGGTCATCTTTTTTCCTCAGATCTCCCTTGGCACCTACCCCGGCCCCCAAACCAGGCGCTCAAGAAAGATGGGCAGCTTGCCAGTGAGCCACCGCCAAGGTAGTTCTCCTGTGCCGACCAGCCTGGCTGGGCGTGCGACCGTCTTTAAATGAGTCAGTTATATGGATCGGAAGCCTTAAACCAAGGCCTACTCTAAAACCCAGCAGTTCCACCCTTAAGAGTAAATCCTTAGGAAATAATTGGTATGGTGGGCAAAGACACATGGTCAAGGAGTTCATATCAACAAAAGTGTCCAAAAACAACATTTTATCATGGTCACGGAGTCAGGCTTCCACCCTACCCTGGCACTTGGGAATCAAAAAGACCCTGGTGGGAATTCAGACTCATATATATGTAAGAGTTGAACGGTCTTGGACACACCATTTAGCACTGCTAAGCCTTGATGTTCTCACGTGTAAAATGGAGCGAATAAAACCTACCTCCACAGGTCAGTGGTGAAGATGAAATCATATGAAGTAATCAGAGCTGTTAACATGACCAAAGTGGTGCTCGATAAATGCCAGCTCCCTTTCCTGCTTCCTTTCCACCCCCTAGGGAAGCAGTGTGGGGGCGGAGAGCCAATGCACAACTGACTCTCCTGCATGGGAGCCCAAATGAAGGGAAGCTGCAGGGTGTGAAGAGTGAGTGATGATCACCCCTGTTCCTCTCTGAGTGAGGGAGCCGCCACAAAACAAAGCTCAAGACAACATCGAAACCCCATTTCTGGCCTAGGAATGTGTTGGGTTATCAATATTTCAATTCTTTTCACTCCCAATTGATATTCAAATGAGCTTGCCTACCCACACTCCCTGAGAGCAGCTAGGCAGCCCCAGAGACCATCTGGGCAATACAAGGAGTCTGGGGGCGGGGGGGGGGGGGTGGTTGAAGCCCAGACCACAGAAGAGCCAATGGGGAGAAGCTTCTCCACAGACGCTGGGGCTCTCCCTACCTTATAGCCAAGACGCGCCGCCCGCTGCAGGAGGGTCTCGCCCGCGTTTTTGTTCACTATGAGCCGACGTGCCTCTGGGGGGATCTGCCGGGCTGTAGGTGACTCGGAGGCCTCCTCTGGGCCGGCACTTCGGGACTTAGAGGGTGTGCATGGTTCCGTGGGTTTCACTGGGGTGGGAGATTTGGGAGATCGTGTCTTCTGCTGGCTCCAACGACCTTTGCCCTGGAAAGCAGAGATGGGGGGGGGCGGTCCTGGATCAGTGCAGGCTCCCATATGCTCCCACCCGGACAGCAGATGCTGAGGGGCTCAAATCCTCAACCACATAAACCAACGAATGACCAAGGGATCAGAAATCAGAGACCAAGGGCACATCCAAGCTTCCCCCAAACACTCTGCTTGCCTGCTTTACCTGCCTCAATCCCCATTTGTTGAGGTTTTGGGACAAGTCCTGTTACTAAATGAGTGAAGCAAACTGAGAGCAAAGAGAACTGGAGACAGGTATCTTCGACTGAAGAGGCACAGCTGCTAAAGCCTTCACTCTTGTTGTAAAAACCTGCCTTCTAACCTACCCCAGCGTCTTCCCACCTCCCTCCACACCGTGGCCCTAGATCACATTCATGCCCACCTTGGGTGGTGGAAAGCACTCGGGCTCAAGAGTCAAATAGATGTAGGTTTGGTATCTTGCCTCTGCCACCCACTAGCTACAAAACCTGGGTTAAGGCCCAACCTCTCTGAGCCTCACTTTCTCCCTTGTGGGCTCTACATGTGGGGAGTGTTAGAGGAACTGTGTTCGAGGAACTGAACTCCAGGAACCAGACCCAAGGAGCCTCATTTGCACCTGGACCTAAGTTAGATGATGAGATTCTAAACTGGGAGCTGGGGGCACCTGGGTGGCTCAGTCGGTGAAGCATCTGCCTTCAGCTCAGGTCATGATCTCAGGGTCCTGGAATCGAGCCCCGAGTCTGGCTCCCCACTCATCAGGGAGCCTGCTTCTCCCTCTGCCTCTCCCCCCACCCCCACTCGTGCTCTCACTCATTCTCTCTCTCTCTCAAATAAATAAATAAAATTAAAAAAAATAAACTGGGAGCTGATGTCATAACTGGACAAGACTTTGGGGGGCCTTGGGAGAGGTAGGTCTGCCTTGCGTGTGGAAGGGACATGAATCATTGGGCGACCAGAAGGCAGACTTTGCCCTCATCAGATTCTAAGATGGCCCCTGATGATCCCTCCTGATATTTGTGCTCTCATGTAGCCCCCTCCTGCACTGGACAGGGTTGACCTGTGTAGCCAACAGGAGAGTGCAGAAGTGACAGTGTTTGACTTCCAAGGCCACTTCCTGAAAGACAATGTGGCTTCAGCCTTTCTCTCTTTTGGATCACTTGTTCTGGGGGAAACCAGTTGCCACGTCATGAGGACACTCAAGCAGTCCTTTGGAGAGGCCCCCAGGGCAAGGCAAGGAGGCGTCTCCTGCCAATGACCAGCCATGCGAGGGAGCCCCCCTGGAAACGGACCCTCCTGCCCCAGTCAAGCCTTCAGTTTAATGGAGCCCTGGCTGACACCTTGACCACAAACTCATGGCCCCAAGCCAGACCCAGCTAAGCTGCTCATGAACCCCTGACCACCAGAAGCTATGGGAGATAATATGTTTGCTGTTGCGTTGAGCTAAGTTTGAGGGTAATCTGTTAGACCACAAGAGACAACTAATACATACCACTTATCCAAATCCCTCAGAGTATTACCAAGGTCTCATGGAAATCCTATGTCTTCTATAACATTCTATAACACTCTAGCCTTTCTTCTCCACATATCCAGGGCACCTAGCCTGAAACAAATAACCTGGTACTTGATGCTGGACTTTTGACTTCCTTCCACTATTTCATGGGCAAGTCTGGCCTCCCCTGTTAGGTTTGAGGCTCCTTTGGGGCAGGGTTCGTACTGTCATATTTGCTTTTATTTCTTACAGCACTTCACTCAAGGCTGGACACATCATCACAACAAATATTTGTTGACTTGATTCAAGCCAGCTCTGTGCAGAGCCCTGGGCAGACTGAAAAGTTACCTAGAATATCATGAAGCCCGGGAAGGGATGGCAGCAGGGAAAAGACCAGAGCCCAGGGCATTTGTCTCCTCTGGTAAATCCCCAACCAGAGCTGCTATCCATCCCCATCCCCAAAGGGCAGAGAGGTCCAGTCACTAGCAGGAAGGCACTGCCGAGGAGTGTAGAGTGGTGCTCTACTACCATGAGGACAGAGGTAGAAAATGGCACTACTGGAGGATGCTGGGTAAAGTGCCTAGGTTTTTGCTAAGCCAAGCCAGGAGCCAAAGGGTGACTCTCCTTCTGGGGGCAAGAGCTGCCAGAGACAAGCGAGGCTGCCTGAGAGGGGGAGGAGCAAGAACAAATGAGGGCCCCCTCCCCTCTTCCTCCCTGGCTCAGAGCCCCTGTGGGAAGAAGCCTTTGGCCAATGCCCTAGCTTTAGTGTCGCAGGCGCGTCTCCCGGCCTCCCCCCGCCCCGCTTCCCACTACAAAGCACCGTGCCAATGGGGGCATCCAGAGCAGGTGGTGGTGACTGGGAGAGAAAGGAAGGCGGGACGGAGAAAGGGAGGCCCTGTGAAGGGACAAAACCTCTCTGGGAGGAACATTTCTGCAGACACACTGCCAGGCGGAATAACCAGACACAACTCTCAGCGTGTGTTGCTGAATGTCAGGCGGCCAGTCACCTTTGTGTGGGACAGGGCCATCTGAGTGTCTGGGGAGGAGCGGGGGGGGGGGGAGGGGAGGGGACGCCCACCTTTCACCAGAGCCGCTCAGCGTTGCAGTGTGTCCCTGCCTGGCCACCCCCACCCCCAGCGTCTCCCGGATACAGACAGAAGCCACCCATTGACGGGGTGGAGGCACACGGGAAGAGCCGGGGCAGTGAGGCCTGCTTCCCGTCCTGACTCTGTCACTCATGACCCCTGAATAACCTCATGCCAGTCCCTTAGCCTCCCAGAGCCTCGGTTTCCTCACCATAAAACGAGGACTACAGTGCCTACCTCTAACAGCCACTGTGGGAATTAAGAACGACCACGTGAACGGAGCCCTCAGCACAGACCAGACTTCTTTATTCCCCCGGCCCCGCCCCCTCCGGGGGTCTGAGGGAATGGTCACTGCTACCTTGCCACTCCAGGCCTCTGTCCTCTCATCCTTGCCTCGACCCGAAGCTCAAGGATGTACACCAACCTCAAAGAGCACTTTACGGTTATCAAAGCCTTTTACATCCGTTGCCTCCTTTGTTCCCCCAAGCACCCTTGTGAGATGGAAAGGACATGGAGTATCATCTCCATTTTTAAAGATGAAGAAATAGGCTTGAGTACCTTGTTTGAGCTGGAACCAGATTCCAGGAGGGGGAAGGGAAAAGGAGAGGGAGACAAGCACCTGGGTCTCCCGCCTTTTGCCAGTGCCACTCAGGGATCCCTGCTCTGGAGCTGGAAAGAGCTGGAAAAATCACAACCACCAAACAAGACCACTATGACCTTTTTTTTTGGTTGCCAATGACATTGGGGCCTGGACCTTCGCTTCTCTCAAATGTAAAGCTCACCCGAGGACTGAGGACCGTGTGATTTTTTGCAAATGGTATAATGTGGAACCTGAAACCAATGATGTGAACATCAGACCCCCGCAAAAAGATGTCAATTATGAACAGGGATTCTAGAACGCTGGCCTGGCTACTGATTGGTGAGTGCCCACTTACCTGCTCCTCTGCTTCCCCGAGAAGCAAAGGAACTGGTGAGTTGCCGGTGGGAGGGCAGCTCTAACTCCTTCAGCCTATCCTCAAGCAACCTTTGTCTGGACATCAACATCCTTGCTTCTACAAGTTGTTTTCTACCTTGATTGAATCAGAATACTCTCTGACTGGTTTCCAGGGAGTTAAGCCCAGACAAAAGCTTCTTGATTGGATGTTAACAAGCTATTCAGGCTAACATCCTGCCATATTCTTCAACTCTTCCCTAACTCAAAGGAGATCCAAGAGCTGTTGAGGAAAAGCCATTAAGAACCAAACCTGAGAGTTTGCAGACTCTTATTGTTAACTGATAACTTTAGGTCCCATTTAACCCCCAACTCTTCTGGAACTACTTCAAAATACTTTAATAAATATGAACTAATTGGGTCCTCCCCATCCACTTACTCACTCACTCACTCACTCAGATGACTATTGTTCAAGGAGCCTGTGGAAAGCCTGCCACCCTAGCCCGCTTCCTTCCCATAAACTCCCCTCACTGGCAACGCACCTTGGCCTCTTCTGAGACATTTGCCATGTGCTTGGTCTTGCACTTTCGTTTTCCTGATGGCTTTTCTGAATTTTCAAGGCAGGCTGGCTCCTCCAGGTTATTTGGGAGGAAACCGTTTGGTGAATCCGAGATCCCCTGGGCTTTGTTGGGCAAGAGGAGGTTCCTGTTCCTGAGGCGGTGCTCCGAACTTTGGGAGGAAGTCTTCTGCTTACGGGCCTTTAAATCTGAAGGCAAGAAACAGGAAAGAATGGATGTCAGGGAAATGGAACACAGAAAAGCAATGCCTTCCTCTACAATGAATCAGAAGGCTTTGGGGAGGCGAATCTCGGTGCTGAGTTGTGTAACGATCAGCTATCAGTGTCTAGTGTGGTGCCGACAATGCCACTAAATGCTTCTCAAGTGGACACTGTACTTAACATCAAAGTCTCTCCTCCCCAAGCCGGTGACGACTCCCAGCCCTGCCAGCAGGGGGCGGCCCGGCTCGCTGTCCCCAAGATAGGGTAATTTTAAAAGGATTTCCCCATAGCCCAGAGCAGATCAGAACCTTCTTTTTGGCTTTTCCCTCATCCGCTTTGTCTCTTTCTCCATTCTAGTATGAAAACAAATTTAGCAGCTCTGCTGAAGCGAAGTATGAAGTATACTGGGGTGGGGCGTAAACGGAGAAGGCTTCCTTCATTGCTTCCGCCCACCCACCTGACTGCCTGGTTGGTCACTCTCTGAGGACGCCAAGATCGAAGCCACAGAAACTCCCTGAAACCAGAAGGTGCCCTGGGCCTACTTAGCTGATGGACAGTCACAGAAACCTGCTGCCTTCCCTGGTTGGAAATCAAGTCACTGGGATACACTGGGCAACATCTCTTAATTCTAGCCACAGCTCACTAGACAAAGCACTTTCTAGTTTCAAAAAGTGTGGCTGTGATTCAAGGGGCGCCTGGGTGGCTCAGTTGGTCAAACGGCTGACTCTTGGTTTCAGCTCAGGTCATGATCTTGGGGTGGTGGGATGGAGCCCTGCGTCAGGCTCCACGCTTAGCACGGAGTCTGCTTGAGATTCTTTCCCCCTCCTGCTCCCTCCCCCCACTTGCCCCCCCAATCTAAAATAAATAAACAAAATATATTTTTTTAAAAAGTATGTTGTGATTCTTACACCTCTTTCCAGACGGACCCCTGAGTGGCGCTGGGAACTTCATTGCCAATAGCCTTATCCCACAGGTCAGTCCTAAATCTCAGGTATAGGGGGGATAGATTAGGTTTACTCTTATCTCTTAACTAATATTAGTGTCACATGGCTTGGCCACTAGCTGTGTAATTGGCTTGAGGCAAGTCATAATTGCCCACATAATCTCCCACAGTCTGTTTCTATGTCTGTAAAATGGAGAAGGTATATTCCACATCAGAGGACTGGTATGAGAATTAAATGAGGTCACATATACAAAGCCCCTTTATAAGGTGTTATAAAGAGGAAGGCATCCTTATCATATTATTGCAGTGTAAGCTCTTGAGGGCCATGCCCATGTGTTCTTTATTTCCCCCACAGGACTGAGCACATGACAAAAGATCAGCATGTCTAGGAAATGAGTAACTGCAGCCTCAGTTTCTCCAATTTGTAAACCAAGGGAGTTAAGCAAGATCCAAGAGTTCTTAGCTGGCATCCCTTGACCGTGGCATGTGTTCTCACATGTGACATTACCAACGGCAAATCCAGATGCGGGAGCCATCACTAGAGTATGAAGAACTGGCTCTGGGTTACGCACAGCTCTTAGAAGGCCAGTTATCATACCAGCACTTTCTCCCAACTAGCCCCAACCCACCAGTGGGTCCTCACACCTGTCCAAGAACTGCTGTGTTAGATGGCTTCTAATGGCAATTCCAACCAGAACATTCTAAACTGGGACTTTTGATGCAACAAGTCTGGGCTGAGGCAAAAGAGGAAGGAACAGAACTGTGCCTTGTGAGGGAGGACCTCAGGAAACATGGGGATGCCATATTACAGCATTCACCACCACAGGAAAAGGAGCAGCTCCCTACCCCATTTACCCAGGGCTGGGCAGGCTCTGGAGTTTATTCAGCTGCAGTGGAGCAAGAACTTCATAGTAGCATGGAAAGAAACAGAGTGGAAGCAGTAGCTGGGTAAGTGGAAGTGGCTCTTCTTATCCCTTCTGCAGGTCAAGGAGGGATATACCAAAGTCCAGAACAAAAGGAAAGGTCATGAGGGTGCCCGGGTGGCTCAGTCAGTCAAGTATCTGCCTTCGGCTCAGGTCACAATCTTGGCATCCTGGGATGGAGCCCCTCATCAGGTTCCCTCCTCAGTGGGGAGTCTGCTTCTCCCTCTCCTTCTGCCTTTGCCCACCCCACCCCCCACCCTGACTCATGCTCGCTCTCTCTCTCTCGCTCTCTCTCTAAAATAAATAAATAAACAAAATCCTTAAAAAACCAGAAAGGTCATGAGGCTCAGACAGAAGTAAGGTGACCTGTCTAGTTTGGCCTTTGCCTGACTCCCTCATGTCAACCTGAAAGATAGGCAGTAACAGGAAGGATCAGAGCTTTCCTGAGAAGAGAGACATTTGCCAGGCAATCCCTTCATGAAGATGTCACCATCGGATCTGGAGGAAGGTAACCAAACCATAAGCCAAAGCCAACAGCCTTGACTCAAAACCCTTAGACACATGCATGGAGGGAGAATGACCTACGTTCCAAAGCTGCAGCTGCCCCCAAATCAAACAGGACGCCTTGCCAAGCAGTTGTTCTCTATGCTCCCCGGGGTGTTTACGTAAAAGCTACCTGTCCACAGTGCTACAGAGATCTCTGCTTTGGGTGGAAAATGGAACCAGGTAACCTCGAAGGTCCTTCTGATTCCAAACCAGTAAGTTCCACGGAAGTGTCCAAGCTTGTAGGGAACCAGCTCTTGGTAAAGAAGACTGCGTGACACAAAAGCTCTTCTTCATCCAAACACAAGTGGCTGAGACCAACGGCTTGACGCCTCATTCTTGACCAATCCCTTATGGCTCTGGCAGGAAAAAGGGAAAATCATCCCCACCCTCTCCCACAGTTGATGAAGATTAGCTCCCTTACGCTCTGCAGGATAGGGACGGTATCGTATACATGTCTACTTAAACCGAGCTGGAAGTGACGTTTAGCCTTGTTTGCGTTTATAGCAAACCCAGAATCTATTACCCCCTCAGAAGGCAGCTATTCTGTTTTCAATAATAGGGAGACTGTAGATATTTCCCAGCAGCACAGGATAAATATATTATCAGAGACAATCAAATGTTGCTTCAAGGGCAGAGGTCAGAGAAAGAGTGAGAGAGAAATATGCTCTTATTGAACCCAGAGACATACTTTTTGCTCATCTAGAAATCTGCTATAAAAATGCCCCCCCCAAAAAAAACCCAGAAATGGGCCCGAACAATACTTAGCAGAACATACTGATATTAGCCTTGGTGACAGTCTGTGCCTCCATGATTATATATTATAGCATCTGACGTAGCCAAAGAAAGCCTGGTTTTCTCCTTGGTCTGCCTGCTCTTCCAACTCGGGTCCAACAAAACTGATGGCACCTCGGGTCACCTCAAAGCTTCACTCTGCCTCTTAAGAACCTTTGTAGCTTTGATCGAGAAAGCAAAGTTGTGCCCGCTTCTACTTGAAGTTCTTCTGTTAAGTTGAGGAAACTTGGTACTTCTCTTTAATGTAGGGGGTGGAGGCATCCCCGGAAAGGCAGCCAATGCCTCTTTCTTCTTGAACCCAGGATTCTAGGAGAAAGAACCCAGCCTCCCAAGAGCCAGCTCCCTCAAGCCAACCAGAGAACTCCCTGGTATTGAGTTGTCCCATGCCAAGGATGCCACTGTGGCCTTGCCCAGAGGTTCAGACTCTTATATGAAATTGGAGGGCTCGGGCCTTCACGTCCTCCGCTCCCCTGCAGGTCAGTCCAAACTCAATTCAATCTGAACCCCAAGCCACAGCCTGGGGCCTGGAGTTGAGTGACCCCCTCTGGCAGCTGGAGCTCATAGCACCAGGTTTCTATGGGTGCAGAGGCCTTCGGCTGGCGAAGAGAAGGCAGAGGTGGGAACACCCAGGATGCCCGAGGGTCCCCAGAAGCCAAAGTCACTGTGGCCTGGGGATGAGTGACAGCAGCTCACTGGAGCGGCAATCCCCAGCCAGCCTTACCTGCTCTCCCTTTCCGCCGCTGCTCTTCTTCTTGCTCCGTCAGGTACTCCCCAGTCTGATATTTTCGGCTCTTCTGTCGTCTCCGCTTCTTCCTCTTCACCAGGCCCTCCTCCTCATCTTCCTCCTCCTCCTCGTTGGTGTCCCACATTTGCCGGGCAGCATCAGTCCTCCAGGGCATTTCTCGGGCTCGCCACAGGTGCCGGCGGCCCTGGCTCAGCAGAGTCTTGTCCTGGGCATGGTGGCTGCGATACTGGGTGTCCTGTTGGGCCTTTCTCACCTTGCGACGCTTAGCCGGGGTGGGGGTCACATCTTCTTCCTCCTCTGTGGGGAAGACTTCCTGGCTTCCCATGTCACTGTCTGCCATACCAGCAAAGGAGCTACAGATGCTTCCTGTGGACGGGATGTACAGAGGACGGTCAGGTACCTCTTCAAAGGACAAAGAGTATGGTGTCGAAGCAAGTGCCCTGGATTAGAAGCTTGAAGGTCTGGGTTCAAGTTCAGGCTCTGCCAGTTATTAGCTGTGCGCTCTGGGAAAGTTCCTTCACTTTTGTTTCCTCCTCTATAAAACGGGGACACTGTTCTCTGCCTTACTGGCCTCACAGGACTGTTTTGAGGCTCAAATGAGATAATCCGCCCATAAGCATTTTACAGAGTCCAATATACCACACAAATATCGAGTATCCAAGCCACACGCCCTTCCTCATCCATGTTGCTGTGACTTTAACTCATTGCACAAACTTTTACTTAGTGCTTACAAGGCGCCAAGCATTATGTGAGGAGCAGGAGGGGGCCACAGGTCCCTGCCCTTTGGGAAATCAGGGTTCAGTAGCAGGTGAGGGAGGGCAGATCGGCAGGGCACCCCCGCCCCTGCTCGCTATGTGACCACCAGTCTCACTGACAAAGCCACCCTGGGCAAGCAGAATCATCACAAAAGAAGAGTCTCAGGAAAAGCGAAGCAAGGAGTCCCTTTCCTGTGACACAGCCTGGGTTAGTCCCGCCCAAATGCTCCTCCACCAGGCCCTCTTCCCTCCCACTGACCCCACCTCCTATTAAGTGGCCAAGAGTCCAGGGGTGGAGTTCTCTCCCTGCACACCCCCCTCCGCCCCACAGCAGCTGTTCCTCACCGCTGGGCAGGCACTTCCCTCCCCTCTCCCCAGCACCCCGGCACAATGGTACCTTTCCTGCCCTCCTCCACCATCTTGCCAAGAGGCCCCACTCCTTCCTTCATAACTCTGCTAACCACAAAAGTACGACCCTAAATTGGCGCGGCTTAGCACAACAGCAGATCTGACAATCTTCTTCAGAAGCAGCTCTGAGACACCACCATCCTTCTCCCAAGGACTCGCTATTAACTCGACAATCCCCCAAACACAAGCGAGGCCAGTGGAAAAAAGAAATGGTTTTGAGGCAAAAGGAATAGTCCTTAACCAAAGCTTCAAGTCAGTCAGACCGTTTAAAGACAGCAAATATCCAGCAAAATTTCCATATACAGACAGGCAAGGAACGAAGTGTTCTGGTTAATCTAATATTCTGGTTAATACAGAATCACCAGAGAGATCACACAGGGATCACCAATTTCCAAAGAATCAAATACAGTACAATGTGTTTAACAGTAAAACGAGACTGGGCATAATGTAATCACTCTTTGATGATTCAGAAGACACTTCAGGATTTTGCGAGGCCTCCAGGCCGTCATTACGAGCCCCAATTACCACCACGCTCTCCGTGTGCTGAGGGTGCCAGTTAATAGAATGTCAGCTAGCTGAGTTTACACTGCGCCCTGTTTCCCCATTCTAGCCACTCTGCATGGAAATACGGGTGAAGCAGGGCAACCACTTCTAGTGCTACACGCCAACGTGGAGGCTGGTAGGCAAAAGCAGGGGCTATAGAAAGAGCCATTTTCTTCAAATTCAGGGGACCAAATGCGATTCTACTGGCCCTGACAACTCAGCGACCATTGCCGATTTTGTTGACGCCTGTCACATAGGGCAGTAAGTCCAAAGGTTGCATGTCCGTGCCTGAGACTGGCCCCACTGACCACGAGATGCGAAAGCTTGGAGTAGGCCAGTTTTCCTGAGTGGCACGGGCCTTTCCTCCTCCCACCACTGGTTGCCAACAAGAGATGTCAAATCCCTGCTCGGAAAAGCCCTGTTTGGAAAAGTGAAGCAAGCAGTCCTGACATCGTGGGCTGTGCTTCCCCCTCCCCACCCTGGGCTCTCTTGTCTCTGCAAGGAGCTGGGCGTCTTAGCATGGTGAGTCAAAGTCTCAACTCTCCACCTGGACCAACGGCAAAATCGCTCGACCAGATTTCTACCTCTCTCTGCAGAGAAGGGCCAATTTGGGCCTCACTCACCAGACTGACTGCGCGTCCGCGTGCTCAGAACCACGGGGATGAAGTCACGGAAACTGCTCTTTGCTTTCTTCTCCAAGGAACCTGGAGTGACATGTGGTTTCAGGGCAGAAGGTAGAAATATCACAATCAGGAGTCCAAGGACTGAAAGCCCCACACCCCACCCACCCCATCCCGGAGAGGCTCGGTGGAAAAATCAAGGGAGGATTTGTGCCTTTCCCAGGGTCACATTCGTTGGCTCTCCTCAGGCTGCTCTCACCTATGTACATCTCTTAGAGAAGGAGCACTTCCAGGTGGTTTTTGAAAACTGGGAGTTGGGTCATTTTTGCTGACACCAAAAAAAGGGCTGTGTACAGAATCAATTCGCCAGCATGCCAGCAAGTTGAAGGCCTGGCTGCCTGTAGGACTGTGAGGCTGCCGCCCCTCCACAAAGTTAGGACTAAGCTGGAGCAGGTCCCAGACGAGGGCAACCTCAATGGATCATAGAGGACTAGGTGAGGCAGGAAGATGGGAGCAGGGAGTAGTGGACAAAGGGAAACTGCCGCATAAGAACAGACTAGAAAAAGGCAGGTCGGGTCAGACAGGCAAAGCCATGAAAACAGGCTACTGTACGCAGGAACATGTGGGCGTCTCTCTCTGATGAGGGCACCAAGGAACTAGCGTGGCAGAGCACACAGGTCAAGTACACACCTCCCTACTCCAAACATACTGCATGTCCCTCGATAATAAGGGTTCAGGATTTCCCTAAATGCTTCCGGCTAGCTCGCTGGGTATTAATTTTTTAACTTTTTATAATGGGAGTTTTCGACTATACCAAAGGTAGAAAAACATGTGTCATGAACCCCGTCCTGCTGTTTTGGTCTCAGTCCTCACAAACCCCATTTCTTTTCTGAGCCTAGACCCATGGCAGGGTAATGGGTTGGCTACTCTGTCGTAGCACTGACTTTTGTTTGTCTGAAAACCACTCTCTTTGGCCCTCAGAGCATACCTTATTCTAGTGACCAGGGTGAACAGAATAAGCCCCATTCTCCCTTGCCTTTGATTTCAGAGGTGTCAATTTTATCTTCTTTCCATAATGAGGAAGTCTCACTATTCTGGGCAGTGCAGAGTCACCCCCACCCCCCAACCCGCCACTGACCTGCCACGGGGATCCCTCTGCAGCCCAGCCCAGAGGGTGAGGAACTGAGGAGCCTACCTTCCTCGTGGCCATCGGCTCGCTTTCCTGGAGACTGGGAATCCGGCTTTGCTGGCTTCCGGTGCTTGTGCTTTACCCTGACTCCATTGTGCTCTTTTCCTGAATCTGAAGCCCCCCTGGGGCTTTTCTTGGTGGGTTCCTGGGGGTCACTAGGCGGCTTCCGGCACTGTGGAGAGGTAGAGAGAGTCAAGTCTGAGATCAGTTCCTCTTCTTAAGAAAGCTTTGCCAGCGCTAAGTCCGGGGCCCCGTTCTGACACATGGACAGAGTTCAGAGCCCAGGTGGGGGCCCGGGGCGGGGCTTTCTGGGCCTGAACCCTGTGCCCTAACTAATCTCCACAGACATCCACACGCCATCATTTTTACAGGTCTAATGGAGGCTGCATTCACAGGCCACATCAATACCCAAAGTCATTTTCAAAGGTGCAAAGTCAGGCCCATGTTCTCTACATCCAAACAGCAATAGTGACAGGTAGCAAACAGAAACGCCTCTTTGGCAAGTCGGGTGACCACACTGGTCAAATACCTTCAGTGCAAATGGTACAGACACCAACAACTGAAAACAATCCTTAGCCTGGGTCAACTCAAGAAAAACGGTCTATTTCCGTGTGTAATAGATTCAACGAAGGCGAGAAGAAAGGCATGACACGGGAGCAACTCACATTGGCCCGCACTTAAGGAAGACAAGGAAAAGGCCGAGGCATTATTAATAATGCCACTTGATACTCTGCAGTACCTTCAACGTCTCAAAATGTTCTCTTCTCTGTTATTTGATTTGATCTTCCTGACAACCCCCAAAGCAGAAGTTAATATCATCCCCACTGCACAGACCAGGAAACTGAGGCTCCAAGACTAGAGGTTAAATGCTTTGTCCAGGGCAACACACGGCCTTGGGAGTCTGCGCGCGCTGGGGGGCGCCCGCCACTTCCCAGGCAAATCTGCAACTGAGCTCATGTGCGCCTGCAGCGACAAAGTAGCAGAGCTGGGACTGAGACCTAGGGCTCCTGGCTCCCCACCTGGGCCTCTCTCTGCAGCAGTTCTCACTCTTCTCCTTCCCCACTGTTTTTGCTCAGCTCCGCTCACTCGCTCACTTGGACAGGCACACTGGCCGTGCTTACACAGCACAAGGACACTCCCAGCCTCACAGCTGCATACGCTCACAAGCTTTGAGGTCTCTCCATGCCACCAAACAAGAAATAGGGCAAGGTAGGGACTTCCAGGTTTCTAGCATCCAGGGAGTGCAGAATAAGCAAAACGTTTTAATTTTTTTATGAAAGCAGGCCCTAGGAAGAAAGGAAGAGTTGTTTTCCCCCTAAGCAGACCCACATGCACCTCCTAGAAGGTTATCACTGTCTAGCTTCAGCTAAGGGGATACCCGATATCTTACCAATAGAACATTTTCCAGGGTGTTGGGGGGGGTGTGTCTCAATTCCCCAGGGATAGGGAGTGACCATTCCCCACCAAATTCCCAGGACTCCTCCTAAACTGTGATCTCCTCCTGCTTCTTACTCAGCAGAGGGCTGAGCTAAAAATTCAAGTTCAGTTGCCCCCTTTGCCCCCTTTGTTGCTGGTTCCTACAAATCAAAGTGTTAGGAAAAAGAAAGAATGGGGGAGGAAAGAAAGATGGGGAACTGTTGCTTAAAAGCTCACCTTCAGGGATGGCCAGAGAAAGACTACTTGAAGTCAGGGGGAATAAAGTTAAATGCACATAAATCTGAACATGTCCTATTTATTTCTGAATATCACTTTTAGCTGGCTCTTTCGAGTGCAGATCATTAACTTTTATTTCCTAAGATAGTCAAAAACAAGTAAAACAGAACATCTAGAAGGGATTTCTGTCCAAATGTTCTGCAAGGGCAGCACCGAGAGTAAAAATGTATTTGCATGCTCCAACTTAGGCAAAAAGTTGGGTGGATGGGGAGACCATGTAAGATGAATGTTCTGGTTAACAGAGTTTTGAAAGGTTTTCCAAGGAATTTTCCAAAGGATGAGAAGACAATAAAATATACCCAGCACCAGATGAAGCAGAACTCTTTCTTTGCTGATGATTCAGCCAGCCCTTCAGGATTCCATGAGGCCTTGGGGCAGGTGGTATAGGGGACAGGAGACTATTCTGATTCTTGGCCATACCCTGAAAGGGGCTGTTTTGAATTAAGCCCTGATCTGACTTTGCTTATCAACAGTTTCTTTCTCCGGAAAAATGGGAGGTAAGAAAAGAAAGATCTAAGTTATTTACTCTCCCCCAAAAATGGACATTTGCTAAATCACTACAGGAAGCTGCAAAGGGCTGCTGCAAGGCCCCCGATCTCATAGCTTTATTCTCTGCCCTCGGCATCTGTCAGTGGGCCCAGTGAACTGTTCATCTAATAGAGTAAAGGGCAGTGCCTGCCTGTCATCAGGTCGCCTGCAAGACATAAGCTCCATGAGAGCAGGGAGCATGTCTATTTTGTTAGTAATACTAACAATAACAACCAGCAGCCACGAACATTTACCGAGCACTTACTACCTGCCAGGCACTGTTCTAAGCATTCATATATATCACCTCATTTACTTTTTATTAACAACAGTTTTAGTGACATGTAATTTTTTGAGATATACCATACAATTCATTTGATTAAGTTTACAATTCCATTGCTTTTAGTACAGTTGCAGAGTCATATAACCATCATGGAGTTCCAGAACTTTTTCACTGCCCCAAATGGAAACCCCATCCCCATTTCCCCACCTCCTCCAGCCTTAGGCAACCACGATTCTACTTTCTATCTCTATCGATTTGCCTATTCTGGACACTTCACAACATCATCTCATTTAATCTTTGCACAGCCCTATGGAAGAGGTACTATTATAGTCTCATTGTACATATGAGGAAACTGAGCGCCAGCGAGATTAAGTCACTTGGCCGATAGCACACAGTTAGGAAAAAGCAGGACCAAGACTTAAACTCGGGCACTGTGCCCGGCTCCGCAAAGCATCCTCCTCACCACAATGCTGTACCGCCCTCCTGGAGATGTAGCTCACGCCTTGGGGGGGGGGGGACTAGCACGTAGTAACTACTCAATAAACACTTGCCAAATGGCCAGTGAGACAATTATACATAAGGAGAGTAGAAGACAGGGTGGCAACAGCTGAAGATGGACATGAACTTTGGAGCCAATGACCAGAGTCTGAGTTCTAGCTCTGCCATTTAGTAGCTGTGTAACTTTGGGTAACTTGCCCATTCAGTGTGTTTCCTTCATCTTCTTATCTGTAAATTGGGTATAGCATTCACCTCATAGGGTTATTGTACGGATTAAGTTAGATGACATCTGTAGAAAGCACTTGGCATATAGTATATATGCTATGTGTGTGTGTGTCTCCTTGTGTATAGCATACAGTACATGTAACAACATGAACTATTATTCTTATTACCACCCAGGACAAATCACAGTTACTTGAGCAAATGCTATATATATATGCTCTACTATGTCATGACCTGTGTTCTTACTTGGCATGTCTCTGCCATACAGAGGTGGCTGTGAGATCATTGAGAAAACCCACTCAAACTCTATCCCTCGGGTTCTTAATTTGGAGCCCAAAGGCGGGCTTTGTGGAGGGGGTGGGCCCATGAACTCCTTGAAATTACTGGCAAAATTCTGAGGTCATGTTTCTGTGGACAGGGTCTTACAGTTTCCCAAAATGCTCTACGGTCCAAAAAAGACTAAGAGCCTCCACCACAAACCCAAATTCATTATACTCTGGCTAGAAATCTGTTCATTAGTGTATATCAACATTCAAATTGAAAATGAAAAATCTTTTTTTTAAAAGATTTTATTTATTTTTTGACAGAGAGAGACAGCGAGAGAGGGAACACAAGCAGGGGGTGAGGGAGAGGGAGAAGCAGGCTTCCTGTGGAGCAGGGAGCCCAAAGCAGGGCTCGATCCCAGGACCCTGGGATCATGACCTGAACCGAAGGCAGACGCCTAACAACTGAGCCACCCAGGCGCCCGAAAATGAAAAATCTTAAAAAAAAAAAAAAAAAAAGAGCATGGCTGCATTCTAATAAAACTTTACAAAAAAATAAAATATTGCAACCAGCAGCCAGAAAAAAAATGGGGCGGCTGGGTGGTTCAGTCGGTTAAGCATCTGTCTTCGGCTCAGGTCATGATCTCGGCCCTGAGATGGGGCTCTCTGCTCGGCAGGGCTCTCTGCTCGGCAGGGAGTCTGCTTCTCCTTCCTTGCTCTCCCTCACCCCCCTCTCTCTCAAATAAAGAAATACAATCTTTTTCTAAATTTTTTAAAAGATTTTATTTATTTATTTGACAGAGAGAGAGAGAGCACAAGCGGGGCGCGGGGAGAGGGAGAAGCAGGCTCCCCACTAAGCAGGGAGCTTGATGCTGGGCTCAATCCCAGGACCCTGGGATCATGACCTGAGTAGCAGGCAGACTCCTGACCGACTGAGCCACCCAGGTGCCCCTAAATAAGTACAATCTTTTAAAAAAAACATTCAATTTGAAGGCTTCTTAACATAACTTCAAATTGCTCCCTATTTTTAAAAAGTTTTCGATTTACTTAAGTAATCTCTACATCCAACGCAGGGCTCGAACTCATAACCCCGAGATGAAGAGTCACATGCTCTTCTGACTGAGCCCGTCAGGTGCCCCTAAATTGCTCCACATTTTTGAGAAGACCTATCTTCAACTGCTTCAAGAATCTCCTTGGATCACCAGTGGCTTCTGGATCCCCTCTGGAACACCACTGGATTCAAGTTGAATCCTCTTGGCCCACCTTTTTGCCTAGATCCCTGCCACCGTTAAGAACCCAGACCCAGATGCCCACCTGCCTTGCACACCAAATTCCCAGTGGGCCTAAACACAAAGCTGCCACCCCAAGCACTTGGACGGATAGGAAACTGGCGGATGAGCCCAAAAGCCAAATTGGCTTCGGCCCCACAAAACTCCAAGCATATCCTGAGCAGGCTCCCCCAGTGGTGCAGAGAACGACCCTGTTGAGAATCCCAAGATCTCAAGGCCAGCAGTCATCTCAGAAAAGGAAAAGGAAGAATGGTTATGTGGGGAAGGGCCTGTTATTAATTGATTTCCCTCGTCAATCTCTTCTTCCGCTCTCCAACCTCATCTGGGACAATGGCTTCCCTGGCCTCAGGGACCAAATCATTTCCCACATCCTACAAAATACAAGCCAGCCCCTCCTCGTGCTAAAACACCATATATGGACAATGGGACTTAGAAAGGGGACAGCAGGTCATTATTCACTTTACACAAGCCTTCCAAGGAGTTCAGTTCACAGAGCTACTCAAGAACACAGCCGCGGGAGGCTGACATCTGCAGGATAAAGCAGACCTCCGGTGTGCGGGCTCTGCCCTGGACCTCAGCCCCGCACTCACCTTGGGTCCGTGGGAACTCCGAGCTGTGACCTTGGCTTGTGGTTGCTGCTCCTCACCATCCTTCTCTTTGCTGTACTTCATCTTCTTGGGTGGCAGAGATTCGGTCACCCCATCGGTCACCACCGAGTCTGGCTGCCACTTGTTCTTGCAAGCAAAGACACCTACGCTTTCCTGTTTCACTCGGGCCTGCCCGGCCTTATTCCGAACTTCAGCTTGGCCCCTCTGGGGAGCTGCTGGGAGGCCATCGGCCCGGAAGCAGGTGGCTAAGTTGAAGACCACATCACCATCCACCTTCTCCATTTTTACCCGCCCCAGGTCCACCTGGCTTCCAAGCTGTGAAAGCTCTGTGCTGGAGCCCCTCTTGCTGCTCGGGACCACATCCAAGATGAGTTCCTTGGGGCGGTTGTCATGAGGTAGCAAAGGCAGCTCGGGCATCTTGTGCAGGTTCTGGGGGGTGGCCAGGACCAGCTCATGGGACATGTAGGTGGCCAGCACTTGGTTTTTAGGCTTCGTGTCTCCTGCCAGCTTCAGGCCACAAGCCCCCTGGGGACCTTCTATCTTCGGAGTGCTGTCGGGGCAGAGGTGGCTCTCTGATTCCTCAGACCCCTGATTCACTTTTATGTCCCCACTGCTAGGCTGGACAGACAGCGCCAAGGTCCCTGTCTGAGGGCTGAGAGTCAGGAGGACAGGGTTGACTTGTTCTTCATAAGGCTTGGCAGCAATCCGGCAACTTTTGTTCTTTGTGCCAGTGTCCTGCTCTGGAGCAAAGGGGGCCCCAGGCCGTGGCTGCCCCTCGGGAAGTCCATGCACAGCTTCACTGGGGCCAAGAGACGGCACACCAGAAAACTCAGAAACAACGCTGGTGGGCCTGATGGGCACCCCCTGACTGGGGGTCAGCTGCCCGGCACTGGAAATGCCAATGGAAAGCAGAGACGCTTGGTGGTATGGTGACCAGCCAACAGGCAGGACCTGGGTGCTGGTGGGTTTCCCATTGACTGAACACCGTGGGTAAATATTTGCCGGCCCCGTGGGCTTCCAGAGAGAGAGCTCCTTGGTTTGGCACCCCGGCAGCCCAGGGGCAATGCGGGCTGGGGTGTAACGTTTGACTGTGCTTGGCTGTCCCTCAGTCCCAGCCTGGCTGCCCTTCTTGCCACAGGGGGCACCGGTGCCCTTAGGCTCTCCTTGATCGATGATGGAGATGGGCTCCTGCTTGGGGAGATGGCGGGGGTCTCGGTTGATGCCCAGGTTAGGGTCTTTGTTCAGCAGCAGGGATGCAGGCACTGGGTTGGCCACTCCCACATAGGTGCCAGGAATGGTGCTGATCAGCGCAGTTGAGTTCTTCACCCAGGTGCTCGGGTCTCCATTCCTCACGATCTCGGGAAAGATGACGAAGGGCGAGGAAGTGGAGCCCAGGCATGAGGTGACATTGCTACCAGCAGCCTGGGTTGTGCGCTGAGACCTAGACAAGACCGTGGAGAGGAGGGCCTTGCTGCTGGTGTGCACAGGGGTCAACACGGGCATGGGGGGCGTCTTGCGTTGGTTCGGCAATGGAAGCTTCTGGCGGTTGGACTTGGAGGAGAGGTCGAGGGGCATCTCGCTGCACTCAGGTGGAGAGGCCATCTCTCGCTCCAGCTGTGGAGGAGACTTGAGGGGAGAGAAGGTGACGGAAGTCCCTTCTGTTTGCTGCTCGCCACCACCTGGCACCTTGGCAGGGTGCGGTGGGGCCGAGCTCACGCTGGGGGCTGGCAGCAAAGGCTGTGGGGTTGGAAGCACCTTGGCAGAAGCAGTAGAGAGGGAAGTATCTGCCAAAGGCCCGGGGACCCCATCGGGCGCAGGCTGGGTGCTGGTGCTGCCGGATGGGGACGCACAGGGAAGTCTGTTCACCTCCAGAGAGACCAGCTTGGAATCTGAAGTCAGAGGCCGGGCCACAGAAAACGCGTATGGGTAAGACCGGAGCTCTGGGGAGGCCAGCACACCAGGGAGACACCTGTCCTGAAGGTAGGAAGGCAGGACAGGCAGTGTAAGAGTGGAGGAGACCCCCAAGGTGGTTGGCAGTGTGGCCACACTGAGCGGCTGCCCACAGCTCGGAGGTGGGATATATACCAGCGGCTGGCTTGGGGTCAGTACTGTCCCTGGCTGAAAGGACAGGGGGACTTTTTGCATAGCTGGTGCCTGAGCTGCAGGAAAACATACTCGACTCAGACTGAAGGAGGCTGGCATGGGCGCAGAGGTGGGAATGGCAGCTGGTGCGGCCGCCGGCATGGGCGTGGGGGCTGGAGTGAAGATCGGGGCCGGGGTGGGAGCGGGCACCGGTGTAGGAGCAAAGGCAGGGATGAGGGTGGGGGTGGAGGGCGGGCCGGAGGACGGAGTTGGGGTGGGCATCGGCACTGACGGAGGGTTGGGAGCCGCTGGAGGCGTGGACGCCGGCATGGGAGCCAGAACTGGTGTGGGGACAGGCGCGAGGACTAGGGTTGGAGCTGAAGGGGGCACGGGAGCCTGGATCAGAGCCAAGGGAGGAGCTGAAACTGGGACTGAGAGGGGGGGGGGGGCTGGAGCCGACAGGGGAACGGGCCCCGAGGGGGCAGCCGAAGCTGGCACGGGCACCAGGACTGAGGCCGAAACTGAAAGGGGGTTCGAATCAGAGATGAGCGTGGGCACCGATGGTGGTGCCGGGGCTAGAGCCGGGACTGGAGCTAAGGGAGGGGAAGGGGCCGGAACGGAAGTGGCAACCTGGACGGGAACTAGCCCAGAGTGGGGCACCGGGGTGGGGACGGAGAGGGGAACCTGGAACGGATCCGGAACAGACGGGGGGACGGCAGCCGAACTGGGAGCAGGGGGGCAGATGGGTGCTGGCAGCGGACTGAAGTTAGTGGTCACCAGAGGCAGGGTTCCCTCCACAGGGACTCCAGTTCCCAGAGTGGCCAGAATGAAAGTATTCTTCTCCCCCACGCCATGCCGAGAGTCCAGAGCCTTCACCCCTGCTGCTGAGCAGTCCACCTGCTTGCTCATTTGGGTGCTGAGGGGAGCCCAGGAGCAGTCAGCCGTGCTGTCGCCGGCCTCGGCGGCGCCGTCAGCAGCGGAAAGCGCGAGGCCGTCCCCGGCGCCACTCAGCGGCACCAGCAGGCCCTCGGCCTCGGCCACATTCCCAGCATAGTCCATTTGTGGCTGGGGGTCGTCAGGCTTGTCTTCTGACTTGTGCCCAAGTTTTTCCGCTGTCCTGCCATCTGGGTCTGCCCCCCGGGCATTGCTGCCGCTTCCAACTGCCGTGAGCTCCACCTGCAACGACAGAGCAGCGTGCCCATCTTAGCTAGCTCTCTGCGGCCGGGGCACGCGTCCTGAGGCCCGGGGCGGCAGCGGCGGGCCCGCTTTGCGACTCGCCCAATTTCTGTCTCACATACAGCAACTCCTGGGAAATACCCCGTTCCTTCCTGCCCCCCTTCTTGGGATGGCAGACTGGGCACATCAGCTCCGCCCTTTGCCGGGTGACATGTGGCGCCACATGGCCCCTTACCTTGGAAAAACTGCTGCTGACACAAAACTCCTGAGATCCAAAGCGCTGGCAGTCACCTGTCGTGGACTCCTCATCAGAAAGAGGTGCTCTTCTAGCATGGGAGACACAACCAGAGAAGGGCCATGAGGCCTAGTCTTTGGGCCACCACTACCTTCGGCAGAACGCCTCCTGCCTGCCCTGGTTCCCATAAAACCACCTCCCTTGGTGGCTTGGAGGAAATCACAAGGAATTGCGGGGGGACAGGTCACAAGCCGGAGCCTCCAAGCCCAGCTTTGCAAATTCCTGCAAAGGAGCCCAGTCTGACTAGACTCCCCTCCTTGGGTTGTGTATCCTGTTCTCTGGGGCTCTCATCAGGAACGTGGAGGATGGCCCAGCACTTTCGCTTTGTCCCGAGCTTACCTATCAAGGTGACCATCCAGGAGGTACTGGGCATTGCCAAAAGGCAGAAGATCTCAAAACGCACGCAAACCAGTTTTCTCGTAAGTGCAATCTTATTTTAAGTCTATAAGGGAAGCTGGCTGCAGGTATCATAAGGGTAATCCTTTTCTAAAACAAATAGCCACCTCCATTGTGTGTCATGTTCTAAATCTGAATCATCACCTATTCACCTGATGGGGTTGCCTAGAGCAGATACACATTTATTAGCGTATATAATGATACTGATTCGAGGCCACCAGGTCACTGAGTGCTGAGGGGCATTTTCAAGGGCACGACTTCTTTCCCTCCAGGGTACCTCTTCCCCTATCCTAAAGTACCACCGAGCTCCAGGCAGCACCTGCCCTCCTGCCTGCATCCCATGCCCTGCCAGCCCCCCACACTCCCCTTGTTCTCTCAGCACCGCCACGTTCACTCCCATCCCAAAGGGAGGCCTTCAAGGCCACGGACCCCAAATTCAAGTTGGTATATTGCAAAGGGAAGGGCTCAAGGCCAGAGAGCTGGGTCTCAAAGGAGGAAAACCTAACTGAACCCCAACCTGCTCCAAAAGTCTTCTCCAGGTTTTCAGGAAGACCCTTAGGGGGGAACAAAGACTAGGAGGGTGAAGCTGAGGAGAGGACAAACACCCACTAGAAGTTCAGTTTTTTGGGTACAGCAAAAACCCACCACTGTCTGCCCAAGGGAGGACGCCACTGGGGCAAGAGCCCAGGTGAGTGGCTGAGTGGAAGGTCTGGGTAGAAGAATAAAGCTCCAGCAGAAGCCCTGTGTTGCAGCTCTGAGGGGGAGAAGCAGAGAAATGCTCTGTGCACCTCGGGGGAAGTGGACCACCTCGGAGTCTGCTCCTCTTCCTCGCCCGCGGCTCGACAGCAGCCCGAGAAGGAGCTAGCGCCTGCCTCACCAGCCACCCTAGCCTAGGACAGTCTGGGAGCCTGCAGCCCACCCCCACAAAAATGGGGAGGGTCCTGCTAACTCCCACCCTCTCACTGGAACAGGGCACCACTGATGGACTCCAAAATTGTACCTGGGCCAAGAGAAGCAAAATAGACAAGGGAGATCACCGCAGGCCTCTCCCTCCCATTCCAGGGCTCCAGGAGGGACCAACTAGGGGAGGGGGTTGGAGATCTGTTCCCTTTAAAAGGCAGCTAGGCTGGCAGAAGTGGGAGGGTTCTACCACTGGCAAGGACTGCTGGTGACAAACAGAGATGACTGTAAGGACAGGCAAGGGCTGGAGAGGCAGTCAGGGGTCTCGAGGAACAGGAGGAAGGGGGGCCCTGAGGGAAAGGGAAAACATACTTGGACATCCGCTCCTGGGAGACGGGAAAAGCCAGCCCTACACCCAGCCTTGGGCTGGGGAGAAGCATGTTCCAATGAGACCGGCCAGCGAGGGCTTTGGGAGGAGGGCAGTGGCAAGGGGAACGAGGGGCACCGCCCCCGCCTACACCAACCCCACCTGAGGGGCTGCAGGGGAAAGATGTTAGCTATTTCCGTTCTTTCCTCTCCTGACCACATGGAGGGGAGCAAGCTGCCCTTGCTGGGCTCCCACCCCACATAAAATCACCTTGAACTGAACGCAGAAAGCCTGCCACCTGCCTCCAAGGCAGACCCACAGAGCCCACGGCCCAGGGACTCTGCGGGTGGCAGCGGCAATGGAAGCAGCAGTCCCGGCTACCCCAGCCATGCCCAGGCCCGAGTGCCAGCCCCCGAGGCTCTGGGAAAACATCGTATGGCCACGTTTCAAATTCTCTGAGGAGAGGGGTGTGCAAAGCTAAGCAAACATTAAATTGCTCCATGGAGAGAGGAGCCTGGGACAGGAATAGCTTGCAGGGGAGGGGTGCACAAAGAGAAGTGGGTCAACCAGGCAAGGTTAGGAGGGTGCAGGCGGCAGGGAGGAGGGAGCAGGGGTCAAAGCAGGCTTCAATCAGGACTGAAAATCAATCCCACCACTTCTTCCCAGCAGAGATGACCCTGGGCTGTTGCGCTTCAGGCTTTGTTGAACTTAAAGCAGAAATGGCGATAACCTTTCAGGGTTGTTTTCCTAATTATGAAGGGCTAGCACCACTGTCAAACCAGAGCTTTTTCAGTGCCTACTGGGCCCTGACCACACCACACACATCAGGCTCCTTATATTCCAGCCCCTGCAGACTTTCCCTGCCTGAGCCCCACCGCACCCCAAGACCACCTTCATTCCAGCCAGGGTCTTCCCCAAACATACTGTGTGGGACATGCCAACCCTCACCTCAAACTCCTACTCATCCCTCAAGCCACCAGCTCAGATGTCACTGCCTCTGGAAAGCCTTCCCTTATTCCCCCAGGAAGTCTACCGTTTTTGCATCTAGACTCCCACAGGGCCTGTGCGTGCCACTCTATAGCACTCACCATCAGCGTCCCATGACTGTTGGTTTGCTCTTGCTGGATTTAGTAAATGTTGGTTGAATGAAGGAATGAATGGATACAAGAAAGGAAGCAAGCAAGCGAGAAAACAGAGAAAGTTAGCCAGAGGTGTGACTACAGTCAGCCACCTGGGGCCCGCAGAAAGCCCCTGTCCCTGCAACTGCATCGGTCCTCAACTGCATCTAATGACGTCGGGCAGGTTTCTCAAACAGTTTTAAGAGTTAACCCCCATGTGCAGCTTTACACCCGAAATGTCTAAGTTCTACAAGTTGTAAAGGGCTGAGGAAGATGGTTTTTAAATAAGGTGAGATCACATTTCAGAAAGCAGCTCTAGCATGGCCTAGACTAGAGGAAAGCGACAATAAAGGGTAGATGAGATCAGAAGTGACAATGCTTAAAAGGTCATCTTAACCACTAGGCATATTTGGTAATTTAACATCCCAAGAAAGGTCCATAAAGAGGGAAAGGCGGGTTTGGGGCTCACTTCCTGTTTCTTTCTCAGCAGGGAATAAGAATGGACAATGAACCAAGGCAGCTTGTGCACTGATTTGTTAAAGGCTCTAGTCCAGATCTCTGCACCCAAGGCTCAACTGCCTATAACGAGTTGCCAAGTTACGGGTGAATGCTTACGCAAATCAATACTACCACCCTGCCTTTCCCCAGTCCCCCTCTTGGTCATTACCTAAGGCCTACTTCACATGCAAAGGAAAATATCTTTCTTATGCAAATCTGAGAGGAATTCTGTCTTATTTTCCTTAGTCCTGACTTTTATATTCTAAAATCAAATTCCTTTTAAGTCCGTCCCTAACTTGTTCCTCAGTATAGAGAACATTAAACTATTAGGCACTAATGGCTTTAGAAAAAAAAAAAAAAAGGTCTCTTCTCCTAACCCGAACCTCAGACAAGTACACACTTCTGTTAAGGGCAGAAGGAAAAAGAAGATACCCACAAAGACACACATTCTCCCACATGCACACACAGCTACGCACACACTTCCGAGATTCACCCAAGGAAAACACCGGATTTGAATCCCGGGCAAAGCTGTAACGTTCCATGTTCTAGGGGACTGATCTGATGCATTGGAATTTGAATAGTCGATGGACTGAAACAACAGCTGAACACCAGAAAGCATGCCTTTTCTAAAAACGAAAGAGGCACTGCAACCATCACACATAGCTCTTTCTTTGGCCAAAGGTCATGAGAGTCAAAAATATAAAATCTGAAGGCCATTTTGGGTGTCCTTCCTACGGGGCATGATCAGTAAATGGCAGAGCTTGGTCAACCAAATATTTTGGTGAACAGAACATTTTAAACACACACGGATTAGGCAGGCATCACCAACTCTCAGTTCCGTATGACAACTACATTAAGCAGTTGGCTCTTCCTGAGATACTTCATAAGGATCGCACTGCGAATCGTCATTAGCCTCGTGAGGCAGGAAAGCGCTGATCACCAGAATACCCACTAACAGTTCCCAGTATACAGCTGAATAATAAAACTGCCTTTCTTCCAGGCTTAGATCAAGGACCAAAAATATCTTGTGCGTATCCTTGAGCACCGAACATGGATGCAGCAAATAAAAATTGCAATCGCCTGAGCTTCCCCTTACTCCACAGTCTGACAGTTCTTAATGAGTAGACAAATGTTAGTTGGCAAAAGGTCATCTGCTGGCCTCCTCACCTTCATCTGAACAGGGACAGCATGGCAGGGCAGGCCACTCATACGGCCCCAGCTCCATCCCATCCCAGGAAAATTGGAAACAACCGAAGCCTCTTCCCCCGGGGTCCCTCCCAGGGCCCTGCCGCAGCTGCCCCTCTGGTGAGTAGGGACCGCTCACTGGGAGCCAGCAACAGCCACGTTCCCAGCCTCCTCACCTCTCCTCGTTGATGCCACACATGCGAATCCGGTCAGAACTGGTCCAGTTGTGCACGCCGCTGTAGAGCGGGGCTGTCGAGATCATGACAGCCGCTCACCACCAGATAGGACCTGCTGTGGCCGCGCTCCCCCTGAGGAAAAAGAACGCCAAAAAATCAAAACTCCTAACAGGGACAGCTGCTTGAGCCACCTTTAACAGGGAAACATTTAAATAAAGGCGATTATAGTACCAAAATGGTAAAGCGGTCTCTCCCACAAGCCAGCCTGCTATGGAAAATTAAGGCCCAAATGGGGATGAGGGCACCAGCTTTCCAGGAATCCATAGGTTTCAGGATAGAGACGAGGATGCTGTTAATCACCTAGAGTGATTTTTAAATCATCTTAAAGACAGATATGCTTGAGTGTTCGAGGAAATTCAATCTATTCCAGACAAACGAGATGACAGTATATTTTTCCACACACATTTAGCCTAACCAACTACAATTAGAGGGTTGTTCCCATATATGAACAATGCGTTGAAAGACTACTGGGGATCTTTTTCTCGTCAACTCTCTAATCCATGGGTACTGAAGTATTTGAGTGACATACCAATTTAAGTTCTCCAGAGGAAGCACATGCTTTCTTTAAAAGCCCTTCAAAAATATTCTATTCTGATTTCGACTGGGGAAGTTATATAGATAGATATAACACACACATTTAAGCTGGTTTAAATCTCCCTCAAAATCAGATGCAATACTCTTTGTACTCTGACCACAAACAAGCAAACAAACAAAAAACAATGTTCCATCACAAACCACACATTTCTGTCCTTGTCCCTTTCTATCAGACTTGTCATCCCCATGACCTACCACCCCCTTCAGCAGCTAATGTCCAGCTGTCGCTGTTGACAACCACTGCACAGCCAATTCTAGAGAAAATGAGGCATCAAGAAAAAGCGGTTTACCCCAATGAGCTTGTCTTGAGACCCTTAAAGTCCCGAGTTAGCTAAAAGTCTTCTTCATCGGAGCTCAACTGAACAGAACCCACAGTGATCAGAATTTTCTGCTGTTCTTCACTTTCCCAAGAAGTAAATCAGTACAATATAGTTACATCAGGGGTTTGTTTCACTTATTCTTTATATAATCTTTAGAGATTGTCCATATTCAGCACAAGAGCACTTGCTCATCCAACAAATATTTATTGAGCTCCCGCTATGTACCAGCACAGTCCCAGGTACTGGGGATTCAACGACTACCAAAAAAGACCCCAAATCCCTGCCTTCATGGAACTTATATTCTCATGGGATGAGACGGACAATACACATGTTAAATGACTCCTGTTATAGGATGTTAGAAGGTGGTATAACACAGGCTAAGGGGCACGGCGATGGTCGGCGGCGGGGGGGGGGGAGGCACGCAGAACAGGCTACAGTTTTGAAAGGGGGTAACCGGCATAGGCCTTGCTGAGAAGGAGACATTTAAACGTCCCGAAGGAAGCCAAGGGGTGAGCCTTGTGTGTGGGGGGGGGGGAGAGCATTCCCGGCAGAACGAACAATCTATGCAAAGGTCCTAGGGCAGGAGGCTGCAAGCTAAGATCCAGAAAGAGCCAGGAGGCCAGGTGGCTGGTGCAAAGTCCCCAAGCACGGGAGGGAGGTGGCACCAGGACAGCAGAGCTACAGCCCCACAGCCCCCCCCCCCCCCCCCCCCTGGCCCCCCCCCCTCTCTCCGCAGCACAGGTTACTGCTGCCCTTGCCTTTCTTTGTACTTGCCCCTCTCTTGGCTTTCCTGACCCAGTGCCATCTTGCTTCTCCAAGGCTTTCTCTCCACCCACCCCGGAACCCCAGCCCCCTGGTCTTGCCTGCTCTCCCCTCACCTCTGCCAGCCCCGTCTCTCTCTTCCCCTTGCCTCTTTTCCTCCCTACCCCCATCTCTCTCTTTCCCTGTCCCCTTCCCTCGCAATTGCTCTTTCCTATTCCCCTCTACTCCTCCTCCTCACGTCCCTCTGCCCCCTATCATTCTCCCAGCTGTCTCTCTCTTCCCCTCTTCCTTGCTTCTCTCTCCCTCTCTCCCATCTCTCTTGGCACAGTCTGCGCTCCTCCACCTTCCTCCCCCTCCCCCCTCTCCTGCCTTCGTCCTTTCCCCCCTTTCTTCCCCCAGCCTCGGTTTCCCTCTGGCTCCCTTCATCTCTTCCTTCTCTTCCTCCTCCTTCCCTTCGTGTCCCCCTCCCCTCTAGTCTTTGTCCTCGCCTCAGCCGTCAGTCTCCCTCTCTTGTCTTTCTGTCTCCCTCTGTCTCTCTTGCCCTCCTGTCTCCTTCTGGCTCCCTAGCTCAGTCTGGCTCTCGTGGGCTCTCTCGGTGTGTGTGTGTGGGGGGGCATGTGAACCCCGCTCTTCCTTCTCTCCAGCTCCAGAGCTCCCCCAGCTACAACTCTCCCCTTCCCACACCAAAGACTCCCAAATCTGTATCTCTAGACCTGACCTCTCTCCTCAGACCCAGACCAGAATTTCCAGCTGCCAGCAACTCGCTGTTAATTGGATGTCCACCGATCCCCTCAAACTCAATGTGTCTCAAACCGAACTCATTATCTGTTCCCATAAACCTGCTCCCCACCCCCCACGCCCAGCGTGTTTCCTATCTTAGTTAATGGCACCACTATCCCCCCCCCCCACCTGGAAATTTCAGCGGTGTCGTCTTCAACTCCTTCTTTCCACCCCCCCAACATCGCTGCCCACAGCCAATCAGGAGTCCTTCTGCCCCTCTTGCCACCACCCTGATGCAGGCCCTCATCATCTCTCACCCAGAATATTACAATAGCCTCTTAACTGGTCCCTCTGCCTCCAATTTCTTGATTTTACAATCAATTCATCTTCTAAAGCACCAATTCGATCACATCGCCACCCCCCACCCCCCGCCACCAAAAGCTTTCAGTAGCTTTCCTGTCTTCAGAATCAAGCCCAAATTTCTTAGCACAGCATTCCGGGCCCTCCCTGACCCGGCCTCAAACCTCCTCTGGCCTCCTCTTTGGCCACATCCTGCTATTTCCTTGTGGCCTCTGCCATCCCAGCTCCTGACCCTTCCCTGAACAGATCATCCACTTTCAGGACTTTGCTGTTTCCTCACCCTGAAATGGCCTCTCCTGTGCCCCTCCTCCTCTCTCTGTCACCCCTCAAAGCCTGGCTTAAATGTCATCATGTCATCTCCCCAGCCCCTGATCAGTTAACTCTTCCGTCTCTGGCTCTCCTCAAATGTTTCATCCCTACCTCTCCCTACCTCTCCCACAGCACAGGTTCTTACTCTTCTCTGCAGTGTGGCTAGCTGGGGGTGTGGCATGTCCGTCTCCCCCACCAATCAAGCTACTTAAGGTGAGAAATACCGTCTTTTTGGTGTCTGGTTCCTCTGCGATGTCTTAGAGATAGTAAGTACTCAGTAAATGAGTGTTCTATGGAACTGAATCCTGGATGAGAAGTGAGGTGATGCCCCTGAGCGATTGCAAGAAGCCAAATCAACCCCCCCCCAGAAGTGCCCACCAGGCTGTTACGATAGAAAAGAAAGCACCACGCGCTGCCTTCGCAGCTGCCCATTCCAGCAGAGCTCATTGTCTCCGAGCTAGTTTGCACCGCTGTCAATTGCAGATAACTGATGGGTATGCAAACTCTGTCTTGTCCCATAGAGTTTGGATTGACTTCCCTCCCCACTGTGGAAAAAACCAGTTTTGCCTCCATTTGCAATTCAGTTCCTTTACTCCATATATATTTGTGCTTTTGGACTTTTTCTTTGAACCGGCTCTAACAGCTGTCTGGTTCCCTTGTTGATTAAAGAGTAAAATAAAATCTTTAACGCATGTTCATTTTTATATCTGTACAAGACTCATGATTTTACCTTTTTCTGAAAATTATCCTTAACATTACTAAAACAGTTATACGGGTTAACATATAATTTTAGAAAGATTTCAGCAAGGGGTAAGACAAATGGATTGACTGTCTGCTTCAAATCAGTTCACCAGGATCCCATCCCATCCCTGAACATCCTGGTCAATCAAGTTTTGACTTTCTCTTAGAATCTTGGAATATCCCAGTTCAAGAAACAACAGCTCAGGGGCACCTGGGTGGCTCAGCCGGTTAAGTGTCAGACTCTTGATCTTGGTTCGGGTCTTGATCTCACAGTCATGAGTTTGAGCCTACTTAAAACAAAACAAAACACAACACAACAACAGCTCAGCCTGTTGACCAATACACCAGGTACTTTTAAAACATCTTTTCTCCCTATGAAGCATGAAAAGAGTCAAGCAATGAAAGGGGTCATACTTGCATAAGATGAATTTTAACACAAAGTATAAATTTTAGTGTCTATCTGAATACTTGTAGGCAGCAGATATAAGTCAGTCACCATTGCTTTTACACTCTTGAGCTAATTTTTGTTCTATTTAGAGGGGATTAGTTGTTTGTAGGGCCTGGGACAGAAATCAGAGGCGGGGGGAATGAATCCTGGCATTTGAAAACAGAACATATAAAATATCACCACCTAGATAAAGGAGTTTTTAGAACCCCCCCAAAACCACAATAACAACAATAAAAAGAAAACCAAGTAAAAACCAAAATAATTACCAGACAATACCACACATTTTAGGACTACCTGGAGGCACCCTCATTTTCACAAGATCCTGAAGATAGAATATTTGCTTCACCTAGGCTTCCCACTCTTCTGTTAGGAATTTCTCAGGACAGCCCCTCTTCCTATGTAGAGCCCACTGCTGCTATTAACAGTAGCCTTTGCAGAGGAGGGAGGAGGCGAGGTAGATATCACAGACAAGAGGGCACTGAGCTAAGTGGTCTACACAGGAAGGCAAGACTGGTCCTCTTGAGCCAGAGAGTAAGCAAAGGGAACTTCCAAAGAGGCACTGATGGCGTCAATATCCACACAGGACGGGAGGAGTCAAGATGGCCAATGTACACCAAGGTCTCCCAAGCCAGAATCACCAAGGAGCTTGTTCAAGATACAGATTCCTAAGTCCCAGCCCTGGAGATTCTGGTCCAGGAGGCCTAGCGTTTCGTTTCATCACCATCATGTCCAATCAAATTAGCAACCACTCCACTGTGCACTCCTTCTCAGGAGAGGTGAGCAAAAAGGAAAAACTTTACAGACACACCACACTTGGT